TGTGACAAATTAGAATACATTTCACTGTGTGTTACTATTATCCAACGAGTTATCTTGTTAATTTAAAAGTGCGAGAAGTTATTTAACTAATCACAATATTCTTAGATATTATTCTATCGAAGGAAATTTAATTTGTTTTAATGTATTTTTGCAGTTCATTGTTACTAATAATCTGTAATTAAAATATTCTATATCTAGTATAAATTATTCCCATTTTACTATTTTGTTTGCAGCATGTAAGTAACTGTTAGTTTTTTTCATCCATAATTAAGATTGAACAAAATTACTGAGTAACGAGTTCAAAAAAATGATGTCTTTATGATTCAGATTAAATGACTTCATTTCCAAATGGAAGCTTTTGTTTCTTAGTGATAGTGCCATTCAAAGATTTTATTTTATTTTTTTTTTACATTCTAAATTATTTTCATAACTAAAATCTGAAGTTAATATTTAAGATTTGACACTATGTTGAGTCATTTCAACAGATTTCATTTATGCAATGTCATAAATCATAGAATTGATCAAATCAGAATAATCTGTCGGTAATCATTCTAAAATATTGGTACTCATTGATTAATATTGATATTCATTGATCTAATTTACTATTTCAGTAATTTATATTGAGATTTAGCACTATGTTGTGAGGAATTGAAAAGCAATAGGATTTTAACAATAAATTTTTGCTTGTCTGAGTAGAAAGCACAGCTATTAGCTCTTTTTTGATAGCTAAAAGTGTTCTCAAGTCGAATTGTGACAATGAATTTTCCAACAATCTGTCTAAAATAATTTTTTGGTAAGAGAATTTAAGATATCTAAAATCAATTGCGATACTAGTGGTAAACTTACCGCTTGCACAGAATGTCGACATAATCGAAAAAAAAAGAACTGAAAAATGAACTCAAAAAAAAAAAAAAAATTATGAATTATAATTAAAATTGAATAAATTGAGATGTTTCACTAACAAGAATGAAGTGAAACATTGCCCATTTAGTTTGTAATTAGAATTGGTTTTTTTTTTTTTTTCTTTTTTTCTAAAAGATTTCTTAAATGAAACAACAAGTATTGTCATTGTTTTGTGATTAATCATCATAAATATTGGTGAGGTGAATATTCTGAATTGTATTCGTCTGAAGTTCTCATTTTGCTGATTTATGGAGTTAAATGAAAACAGTGTGTGAAGAGAGAAGAGGAGAATATCGATGAACAAAGATGAATTAATTCACATTAGCTGAAATCCCTCGAGAAAGAAGAGAATGAAATCGAATTCAGAGGGTAGATTGGACTGTTCAGATTACGGTATCAAAACAGTCAATTTGTCATCCAATTTGTCATCCATAATAAATTCTTTCAATTTTTTTTTTTATTTCCTTTAAGAATTTAACTAATTAACAATCTCTTTTTATATTCAACTCATTGAGTAGATCTAATATTACATTGAATTATTGTAATCAAATCATTCCGATTAAGCATTTATATTTTGTCCAAATTCTATATTGTTATTAAGCTAAAACTTCAATTCTCTTTATGCTATCATGCTTGTCACAAATAAATTCTCAAATTTGTCGATACAAGTATCTTGTCACACTTGTCAAATTTGTCACAAATAACATTCTCTAGCAAGGCAGTAATTTGTTACTATTTTGAGACTACCTTCCGCACTACCGATACAGTGTTGATTCCTGTTATTTGCTTATGATTTTTTATCACTATTTTTTGCTAAAATTTGCTATATTTTATTTTGAAAACTTTTTGGTTTGAGAAAAAAGATATGTCGATCGATATCTAATTTTGGGTAGCTCTCATTCTCTCGAAAAGTTGACATATGTTTTGGAAACTATTTGAAATTATTAGCTGTTGCAATATTACTGTGACAAGAACAGTATAAGAGAACAAATAACTTCTTAATTTAATTTATGAATAGCATAAGTGATAGCAATGACAACAACAACAACAAAAATTGCTTCAATAAAAATTCAAAATGCATCATTGAGTGAAATAAAAAAGAAGAAATAATTATTTGGGCCTTTTAATTCACTCTCAATACAAATTGAATTCTTTTAAAGTTTTTCATTTTTATTTTTTTAAAACACGAAACATTCGGATTTATTGATATTATATCTTAGAATTTATAGTGATATGATATAATGGAATATCATCGATATCATTTGTTGCATAATTTTGAGCTTCATTTAATAGTTGAATTATTTTCTAGGAAAATGGGTTTTATTTCACCACAGCAATACAGTTTCCGTCTAATCTCATAAGATGATATAACATCTTTTACGAATTTGTTGAAATTTGCAATCTAAAGAAAAAATTTTTTTGAAGAAAATAACTCACATAAAACAGATAGAGATAGCTTGAATTAACGTGAAATATAAATTATATTCTAGATTTTTGTTGGGATAAATTAAATTAAATGATGACATGTGATTTGACAGTCTAATAATTTAAAGGATTTTGGAAGGCCTAAACTAATTTAAGCAATTCAAATCTCAGTTAGTTTGAAGTCAGTTTAGATTAAATAGTGCTAAATAGTAAGGAAAGGATGAAATTTCACGTATGCTTTTTGCAAACGCCCCAAAAGTTTGGCTCTAAATTCAAAGCCAATGACATAGCTGTCAGCTACTCAGAATTTAATGCTTTAGTTTATAATTATTCCTTTTTTAAAATATTACTATTTTTTGCTTTTCTTCATTAAAAAAAAAAAAAAAAAAACGACATGGGATCATTGTGACGGTTTTCTGAAAATATAACACCATTCCGGAATGTATTGTATGAAAAATTAATATTGCATAACATAAATTTAATATGTTTACAAGTGATTTGTAGATTTTATTAATAAACTCTTAACAATATCAATCAATTGTTATTTGTTAGTTTTCATCTGAAGTATGTTGATTATTAGCATTAATCCCTGAGCGCAATCTTGAAGATCAATTTGAAGGCTATAAATGGGCCACAATAATTGTCAGAGAGAAAAAAGCTTGTCCAATCCTCTAGAGTTTTCAATTTTTTTCTTCTTTCTTTGCTTTCTTTGCTATATGATTTTCTTCTTGCATGCAATTAGGCAAGCTAAGCCATAAACTAACAAAAGCATTTCTTGGCTAATTCTTATATGAGCTCTAAATCAGTTCCATTTTGGCAGCTATCATTATTATCATACATTATTATCATTATCTTTTTCTATGCTTTATTAATTAATAGCTGAAGGGTGACAAATAAGAAAAAAGACTGACAAATGAGCAAAAAAAAGCGGAAATGTTACAAAAGTTATTATCTTAGACTGTATAATATCAATAATTCATAAAAAGGCAAAAAAATGTACATTGCCAATATAGAAAAATTCAGTTGAATAAGGAATTTCATTCAATTCTTGACAAAAGTTTTTTTATGGATTTGTTAAAAGAGCTTTTAAAAACTTTCAAATATTGCGCTAATAATTAACAATTCTGCTTTTTAACACAAAAGCAAATTTTTGTCTTTGTTGTTTCAAAAAGAATTCTTTTTTGTTTCATTAAGTTAATTTTCATTTATCAGTATAAATATTATATAAAAATAATTTTTTGAAAAAATACAAAAAAAACTTTGGGAAAAATATGAAAATTAGCTTAATCTATAAATCAAATTTACAGTATATAAAGATGACGCTTCAAATATTTGGATTAAGCTAATAAAATAAATTGTCCGAACTAAAGATGTATTGAATCTCCACATAGTAGTTACAGAAGTAAATGACTTATAGGATGATACTTACTTTAAAGAGCTGAAAGAGGATAAAAATTAAGTTAAAATGATAAATGCAAATTTTAGATAAGTCAAAAAAGAAAACATTTTGAATTGAGAAATCAGATATTTTAGTCCGTTGAAGGAATTGGTTTACATTACATTGAATATAAATAATTTTCTCTCTTTTTCAGTAAGCATAAAATATTTCTATTGTCATTCATATCGAGACTTAATCGACCATTTTCCGGAAGTAATCAATATGTACACGCCATCCTGAACTTTTAATTATGAGGCAAAATTCAATATGTCCAATGTTAACGGTCAATTGAATCAATGATTTATCATTTTATATTTCAATAGCTTATTGCAATAGAGCAATAGAATACAGATACACTGCGCTAAGGTATGTATACATATGTATGTATGAGGCGTGTTTGACCGACTGATAGGATGAGGAAGCGAAAGGCTTTGCTTAGGAGAGGCCATTAAGCCTTCTTAGAGAAGCAATAGTCACTTCATATTTATTATAGTTTCAATAATTTGCTTGATACGATAAATGTACGGTTGAGTTCATTTTGAAGTCTTGTCTTAGTGAAAGAAAATGCGCCGCGATAGTAGTAATAATGCGCCGCCGGGTCGACCGCCCTATTGCGCTTCCTTTCTTCCTTCCTGCCTAAACCTAAACGAACCGTTTCTTCCTTCTTCATTTATATCATTGCCAAATAACACAAAAAGACATAGTATTCTCAAAGGATTACTGCCTTACTTCTTCCTTCTGCCACTTTTGCAATCGTTAACCCAAACAAAAATATTGAGACTAAATGCTCTCGAGATCGGTCAGATATTTCCTCTTTAGTAGTTTATTCCTCTCCAAATGTACTTACTTCATTTTAGCTTGTAAAATTTGAATACTATTGATGTTATTATATAGGTAGGTAGATAAGTAGGTAGTAATCTCATACAAATTTATCACACAAGTCTATTATTACGTAAATATCAAAGTTTATTATTACGTAAATGAAATCGCTTTTTTGTTACTTTGCTTTATACTATACAATTTACATCAACCATAAATAACTAAGTACCTTTAAATGTGTTATTAAACGTGGAATATTGATTAGTTCCCTTTTAAGCTTTACAAATTTGTAAAACATTCAAAACTTCTGCTTATCACTTAATGATAAACTATGACCATTTTCTTATCAATGGTCTGCCTTTGAATAAATTTCAGTTTGTGCCTTAAAAATAATTGTTTGACTGAAAAGAAAGCAATGTACAATGCATCAGGATCTTCAGGATTTACCGGTGGAAAAGGAGTAAGTATTTCCGAATCTGTTATCATAAATTATACCAAATGTCAATTAATATATTTGTTACCGAACATTTTCCACTTAAGTTTAAAATGATTGATAAATTTATCTCTCAACGAACAATGTTTCCAGACATGAATTCCCGGTATGCATTTTAAATACTATAAATTATGTACACAAATTAGAAACAGTGCAACTAAAAAATTGAAATTGAATTAAACATTTGAAAGAGCTAAATCAGTAGTGGCATAGACTCATAAAAAAATGAAATAACTTTTAAGAATCTGGGGAAAAATATCACTTATATTATGCAAAATTGATTTCTCATCCAAGCTGAGCCTTTAAAATGATGACACATTCTATTTCCCTTATTTGACCTTTAATAAAATCATTTTTGATGACTAATATAATTATTTAAGGTATTTTTTACTAACCTCTATGGTTTAGAACTATCCGTTAGATTGATTACGAATTAAATATCTGAAAAATTTTCACTGATAGTTCTTTAGGTCATCTTTCTGTCAAAAATCATTTAATTATTTAGTTTTAGTTATCGTTGAAATTTACTGTTCACGTTTGTGTCGAGAAGATTTCTCGTTTTTTTTTTTTTTTTTTTTTTCATTTTTGATATAAAAAAGTTGATTAAAGCCTAGTTTTTTGCTCTTAATCCACTTTTCCGGAACATAAAATACGATAAAAAAGCTAGAGCTAACTGATAAAATTCCTTCAAACGAATGTTCCTTCATATTTTCCTTTTGTTATTCGAAGAAAAAAATTGCAAAAGACATTTTAGTCAGATTTTAGTAAAACTTTAAACTTAAATAGTGTATTCAATACGAAGGAAAGTCATCAGATCTAAATGACAAAACCAAATTTTGATTAAAAAAAATTGTTCTCCAATAGCATAATTTCATTTCACGAAAAACAAAAAAAAAAAAAAAAAAAAGAAAAAACGAGAAAAAAAAAAACCAAAAAAAGCAATGAAATACATCAGTGGTGAAATTTCGGGAAGCAATTCAGAGAAAGAAATGTGATTACTCTTCCAAAATAATTTTTTATGTTTGGTTGCCTCATCTGAACGAAATCTAACGACTGCTTGATAAAGTGCTAAAATAATAGTCTGACGATGAACTGAAAATGTATTTCCAATAAAATGAAATGAGAAATTGATGGGTCAATAACACAACTAAAAAGTTGAACGAATGATAAAAATATTTGTCGTAACAATTAATGATACAATTTCTTATATATTTCTATTGCAATGAAATTGTGAAATTTTTAATTAATTTAATAAGTCTATAAGTTCTATCAAGGATAGCCTATGATTAGTTGATGAAAAGAAAAATTTCTTCTGCCACTTTCATTTCTTTTTCTAATAAAACTTTTGAAATCTAAATTGCTGTGTGAACTGTTATTTAGTTTTATTCGCTGAAAATCAAAATCAAAGTACTAATTAAATTGCTTATGCAAGTTAAGTTTAAATGATGATTTTTCTTTTTTTTTTCTTCTAAAAGAAAAAAGTCTGTTCCTATTCTTTTATTATCAAATTTAGCGACGACCTACTGCTTCAAACTCTGATTATGCAGTATCATCCGGACAGTTGCAATCTCGTTATGTGGTACGTAAGGTATGTATTCTTAGAGTTTTTGCTTTGAATAGCATTTTGTTAAAATTTCTCGCCAACAAATTTAATCGGTATGTTTCAAAATTTGAAAATTTTCCAGTTTTTTCATTGAATTTGGCTCAAATCAAGGGATCAAAAGTGAAATAAAATGAAGGAAGATCGTTTAAGCGGTGGGTATTTATAAGATCATTTGTATTTAAGATATTAAGACACAGTTCATTTCACTAAAATTATTTCAAAAATTATTTTCCAACCTTTCATTGTTGATTTAAAATTTGTTTCCAATTTAGATTTCCGGCATGCTCGGTGGCCTACATGAAATTGGTGAGACTAGTAAAAGCAATGAAAATTTTAAAGGTATGATGAAGTCCATGACTATCATAATATTAGAATCATAAAAGCATTTCTCACATTTCTTCAAATAATATTGTAATTTCAGCTGCGATTTGCTAAATGAGCCTTTTGAGCTTCAACATTTTTTAACTTAAGACAATAGTTGAAGGAGAAAAGTACAAATGCATTAGTAAAGACTTTCTTTGTAAGATAAAATTTTGCTCACTTTTCTTTGCTTTTCTTTACTCCCTACTTACTTCTACTACAGTAAATGAACGTATTAAAAGAGTAATAATTATAATTATAAGCTTTCAAATGTTTTGGTCATTTCTTAGTTTAGATAGTCTGAAAGTCATAAATGTACCTACTTAGAACATCTGTGCAACAACTACCGCATACTTCGTCGCCTTGAGTTATCTAAATGTATTATTATTCGTCATATAAACATTTAGTTTCATTTTCTTGTCGATCTTTCCAGTAATAGCAAGCATGAATCTATTAATCATTATCAAGCTTAATTTTTAATGAGTTGTAAGCTGCAATTAGGACATCAAACAATTGAACAATTGTCACACACACACACACATACTTTACAACTCAAATTAAATTCAGGAATTTTTCCTGCAAGTGCAAATTGGAATTTCAGAGAAAGAAAGCAAGAATTTCTGCATTTAGTTGTAACAAGCAGTGAAAAATGACCCATTTGAGAACTAAAAAATTTAGGCTTTAAAGTTTAATGATGAATGATGCATGGGATATCATCGATCAAGCGAGATCCTTGGGTGCAAGTCGAGGAACGTTATAACATCTGTTTCCTTCGTTAAAATCCCAATATTATCAATCTTCATAGCAATAGCAAATAATTTATAAATGGAAAAACAGCAAATGTTATTTCAACAGTAAAAGTATCAAAGTATAAAGAAACTTTTCATTACAATAACACAAATTATATCATTTTGTGTAATCTTAGATTCCAGAATAGTGCGGGAAAAATTATTACATTCAATTAAAAGTAATAATTAATGGTATAAAATTTTTTTGTGCTTTGAGATTTCCTGAATTTGGAATTATACATTTCATTGACAGTCTTAACAATATATCGGACTTCATTTTCAGCTATTCAGAATATTTTTCAGATTTAGCAAGGAAAGGATGCTATGATGGTCGAAGGTTTAGTGATGACTGTCATTATTCGTTGTGTGTTAGAACGTTGGACCGGAATGAAGTGCAATGCAATGGGTGTAGTCATGTATCTGACAATGGAGCATTTTGTGAGATATGCACTGCATATTCATTGGTTAATGGTACTCACCTGAAATTTGCCGATCAGGTTAGTATGAAATATTAATTAAGGGAATATTCTGAGAGATAATCTATAGCAAAATAATCTATTTTTTAATTAATTAAGAATAATCTATAGCGAGCTTTAACTGTTGTCATTGAAATTTCAATTATAATTAATCTATGAATGCTTTTGTGCAATTTTGGTGAATTTTTGAGATTTGCATAAATTTGATGAATCAATCAATTCTCTCTCTTTTTCAGTAAAAGTTTTGTAATATTGATGAAACTGTTGTTCAATAATGAAATAAAAAGAATTTCAGGTGGCGCTTTTTGATTCGGGTACACTTCATTCGCTTACAGTAACAGATTGCAGTATACTTTCACCGAATGAAACGGTAATCGAGAAATTTTGTCGAATATGTCACAGTTTTGGTAGTTCTGAGGATCCGCTCATTTCCCCGTGTCGTTGTACCGGTTCCCTGAAGTACGTCCATATATCATGTCTCCTAGTAAGTTTCTACCAATTACTTTAAATGTGGAAATTTCAATGAAAATTTGCATAATTGCTATGGAACAATTTCTAAAATGTATGTTCATTGCGTTAGCACCTCGTCTCTTTCCTTTTTTCATCGCATAGGTTTAATTACAATCAAATATTATTATTTTTGTCACGAATTTGGTTTAATAGTTCAAAATCGATTCAAAACAAAACATACTGTTCAGCACTGGTTGACAATTTGCGCTCATAAATTGAAGCGTCCAGCAATATGTGAACTTTGTCTTTACAAATACCGCCTACGAAATATCATTGATGTAAGTCAGTATCAATCATTTAAAATACTGAAGTCATTTAAAATCTACTTTCTTTTCTTCATTTCAATAATAAAACAAGTGCGTATATCAACCACTCGAATTGTCATCGCACCATTCATAGCTTTACAGAATCACAAAAAAGTATAGCAAAAACTTTCAGTGGCAAAATTTACGTTTACCATCGATTTCAAGATATGATTTACGTTATCTGATAGTGTTTATCATAGCTGCAACGCTAATGTTCCTAACTTCAATTACATCACTGATTTGTTTTTGCATTGAAAAGAATTTAGAAAGAAACAATAATACGATGCAGGACAATCCGTTCGTTTTCTCTTTTTCTTTTCATAATTTTTTTTTTTTTTTCTAAGAAAAATTGCAAAAATAAAAAATATTGAAATCAATAATTAGAAAAATCTATATTTTCATAGTGTGTGCTATTGTAGGAAACAAAATAAAGTCTCTTTAAGCTTAAGTTTATTAGACATAAAATATACTTTAAAATTCCTTTAAGTCCAATATTTATGATTAAATTTCAGTGAAATAATTACGAAAGGAAATGATGGCAAGTGGGAAACTTTATTCAACTCATACACTTTTCTTCCTGCATTTCTCTTCTTGCTATCACTTTTTGTTGCAATATATACTCATTTTAAGGCTAATTATTCTATCTACTATTTTGATTACTTCTAACTATCTAGAATTAATTACTGTAATTACTGAATTACTCTAAACTAGTGTTGTTCGAATTACTTGAATAGCTTATGAATAATTACTTGAGTACTACAGTAAAAAGTTTGTGGATATAAAAAGATTATTCGAATTTTATAAATTTTTCAAAGTTTATTTTTTTTTCAGACAAACACTAGTTTAATAAGATATTTATATCGTTTGTGGATTAATAATCAAAATTGGATAATAGAAGAATATCGACCAAGCCGTGATCAACGTTACTGTCATAAAATGGAAGAACTTCGAAGACGGTTGAATGGTAACATATTTAATTGATCGTAATTAATTTAGCTGAAATATATTGTTGGCAATATTTCCACAGTAATGATAATAGATAATCTTAATAATGACACATAAAAGATTTTGATAAATTTTAAATGCGTTCTTCTGTTCTACTTTCTTTTTTTATATTTATTTCAAATTAGCATTTCTATGCTAGCATATATTAGCCTAATTTTCTTTCTTTTTTTTTTTTATTTCATCAAAACATTCATTCATTTATTCCCATCACTCTCACAGCACCAATCTTTCCTCAACTTTCTGTTCTTTTTAACTCGTCCTGTTGCTGCTTCCTTCCATTGACCTTCCCATGTTGTTCATACAACAAGGGAAAAGGGTTTTTGACATTGATTAAGTGTTAAGTGATAGAGTATCAGTGATATATTCGCTTCTTCTCAACAAATATGTGTTCTGCTTTCTTTGAAATGCGGTACTGTTAAAACGCACCTATTTCATAATAATGACGATTATGTAGTGATAATGTAATGATATGATAATAAAATAACAGTAGTGATCATACACTACTACTACTACTAATAATAATAATGATAATAATAACAATCGGTTTAATACAATGTAGGATTTAATGAAATGCCCTTATCATAATACAATATCTATACTAAGAAGAATTAGGTTAATCCGAAACGAGAAGGGCAGAAAGAAAAAGGTCGCACTCTCTTCATTCTGTTTATATAAGTGTGGTAGGGTTGAAAGTAGGAGAACGGATCAAATTTTATATTTAATGAAAAATGTATCACTCAGTTCATTTGAAACTTTTTTAAAAATACATATGCAATTAGATGATAAAAAAATACGATAGAAGCCAGACAGGTTGGAATAAACATGAAAATGGTACTAAATCATCACATCGGATCTTCTTTACCTTACTTACCGCATGTCTTTTTGATTTGAGCAAATTCACTTATCCAATTTTATTAAAGTATCATCATTTTAAGAATTTATTTTGTTGATGTTTAGCAAATTAAACTTATCTTTTTTATTGATATTTTTTTCGACCTTACGTGTTTATCCTCTTTCATTGTTTTTGATTGGAAAGCACTGCTGATTCATTGAGACATTTTGTAGAAATATTTAACACATTTTTTTTTCCAGTCTTGAAGCACATAAATCTCTTCAACTAAATTAGTTAGCATTGATAGAGTATTTCCTGACCTTTATGCGATTTATGGATTTTTAGGGCAAGGAAGTTAAACGATGAATACTTTTATAGTGTGTCTTTTTAGAAAATGACCATCTGAGCCCAATCTATTAGAATCCTCATAATGGCCTTAACTTTGGTCATTTAATCTTATTTAGTGATAGCACCAATAAATTAACGAAATACTGACTGATTAAAAATAATACAATATTTACGACTTCGAAAATTACATTTTTACATGATGATGTTTAAATTTTAAGAAATATATAAACTATCACAAAAGATCATAAAAAAAGTAATGATTAAATGTAAGAAATAGCTATAATTAATGAATTTTCAAATTCGTATTACTGAATGAATTCACTGAAATGTGAATTAATCTGAAAACTTTTAAAATCTTTTGAGAAATTTTTAAACATTTTAAATAATAATTTTACCCACTCATACATAAAAACAGAATCTTGGAAAAATTATTAGAAAATATAGAAGTAATTTTGGATAAGATAATATTAAATAAAAATGAAAAGATATGCAGATGTTGCTGTTGTTGTCATAGTCATTCATGTTTACTTCATATCAATGATGATTTATTGCGATTTAGTTACAGCAGAAGGAAATATAGGTACACCTACCTATGACATATCCCATATTGCGTCATTATCCATTAAATGAAGGAAGAAGCTGCGCATTTCCATAATGTCTCATCTCAATTTGAGGAAGCAAAAAATTGTTCAATATGTTCTGACAAATAATTTTTATATGGAAAAATTAAAATGGAAAAAGACAAGAATTTTTGTATCTTTTAGAAATATATAATATTCAAGAAGAGATTTGTTGATTGCTTTTTAATAGTTTTTGCTTTGCTTTTATTTTTTGTTTTCTTCATGAAAAAGTTGTGCTTACATCTTTGAAATTTATTGAAGTAGTGGGAAACTGAGATTAAAGATGGCTAATATCAATCATTTGAATGTTAGAAGTTAGACGTTAAATAGGTTTAGACTACTTCTAAGCACTAAAAAGCGACTAAGCTGGGACATTTGAATAATTTTATAGCATTTCGACATTTCAAAGTCTTTTCTTGTTTTGCATGAAAAAAAATTGGTTGAGACTAAAGGAAATTTTAAAAGGTGGAGAGAGAGAGAGAGAGGAGAAATGAACAGAAAAAGAAAGAAAGATTAGAGTGCACTCTGTGTACAGCAAGATATTAGCTGCAAAACAAAAATGACCCCCACTGTAATCCTTTCAAGAAATAATTGGGAGGGAAGGGTAAATGTATGGTCTAGCAGAATTCAAGCTAACAAAATCAAAGGAAGCGACCACTAATCAAAACTTTATTTATTTTCTTTTTATGTAACAAAATTATCTCATCTCTTTTCCCTCCAAAAAAAGAAACTAATTATTTGTGAATAGATAGATAAAGGAAAGAATCTTCCCAAAGTGAAGTAAGTCTTATCATATCATTGAGATAATTAGCATTCTAAAAGCATGTCTATCCAATTTTGACAATCTTTTAGTTGTGAAAGTGTGGCTCATTCGTCTTCCTTCTTTCATTCATCCATCAATCATAAAATAATTCATTGTTATAAGAAAAAAAAGCGCATTTGGTTCATCACATTTTCACCAGATGTGTCTTCTTCATAAATCGCTTTGTCTACTCCATCGAAAAGATACGAAGTGAATACCTTATATGCATTTTCAATTCATATATTATTTTCTAGTCATATTCATTTCCAACAATGGTCAAAACTTATAAATTAAAAAATACGTCTATTTCTGAAGATAACAAGGAAAGGATTTTTCTTCGAATTTTCCTAGTGATTATTATTTGTTACTTTTACTTCTGTGTCTAATTTAAGTCTTCGCTTCATCAAAAAAAATTTTTTTGCATATTTCATTTTCTGCAAATATTCATGCTTTCTCATTCTCTCTTCATATCTTTTTGTTTCGTTGATGGCTGATATTGTGAAATTTATATTTACACTAAAAATCCTTCTCTCATATCAAAAAAAAGAAAAGTGAAAGAATTAGATCGAACAGATAGATATGTAATCGATGCTTTCAGCTTCAATAATTAGAATAGATGAGGTAATTTGAACAATTGAATATGATTAGATGATTTCAAGTTGACTGTGAAAACGAAATAGTTATTCACAAATAATTTTCCTGAACAAGAAATGACAGAAACTAGACAATATAAACCTAAAACACTAATTAAAAGCATTTACGGATAATGTAAGATTCATTTGTAATGCATCCTTTCACCAAAGAACTTGAAACAATCTTTTATCTGTTTCGATTATTTCTTCTCACTTTTTTCTCCAGGCTTTTCACTTAAAATCTTAAAAAATATTTTTTCGTTTCTTTGATATTGTAAACAGTAGTGTAGAGCTTTTTGAAAGGAAGGAATAAAATTAGTGTATTATTGGATTGGTCACTTTTCTTTTCAATTTATTTTCATTCAAAACAAAGCAAATTCTTTGTTCATTTTCTATCCAATTGATTTCATTGTGTTTTTTCCCACTTTGATTTCATTGTGTTTTTTCCCACTTTGATTTCATTGTGTTTTTTCCCACTTTCCACTTACTTTTCTTTTTAAGTATCTCTCATAAATTTCAACTTTTCAAAAGTACCTCATTTATCTATCTACTTTGGTTCTATAAGACTTATCTAGTGTAAAATATTCATCTTCAAATTATACTAATAACTTTAAATATTTTTTTTCCAAAAGTGATTAATGTATTTTTACACATGTCTAATTAGAACTGAAAGAACTCGTTTTCTTTCTATAGTTAAGGATTTAGAAGAATGAAGAAGAAAGATGAATTACAGATGACCAACTTCCAGACCTAATTAATAATTAATTAATGCACCAAGTCTAAAATAATGCTATTAGATAGACCACAACAGCATCACTCTAAAGTAGCTTGAAATTCTGAGTGTAAACAGTCTAAGTTGAGAAATGCTTGTCGTTTTAAATGATTATTTATTTGTTTATTGTTATAGAGCTTATCCAAATTGGCGAAATTCAGATTGCTTCCTTGCACTTTGCATAATATTATGTGGTACTTCTCACTGAATAATTCAATAAAGTTCCATTCCAAATGCTGCAAATGAAGCTCATTTCGCAAAAATTTAAATTGCTTACCGAATTTTTAGATTGCTTATCCGACTGAATAAGTGCACTGAAGTGTATTCTTTATAAATCCTTCTAGAAGCAGTCTCTCTATCTCCTGCTCTCTCTCTCTCTCTTTCCCTCCATTTCACTTCCTAAAACCGTAATAAGCTTCCGTTTTCAAGCAACTCCCATTTCTAAAATTACTCCATCTATATTAAAAGAGTGAATAAATTAAGGTAGCAGTACTCTCTCCAAAAGAAAACACAGTTTTCAATTTCATCCAATAAATTACATGCGAACGAGAATTCGACAATTTGCCGGATAAATCGGAGTAAACTGAAACGGCGAGAAAACATCAGTAAAAGTAATGTAATGATTAAACTGATTTATACTATGACGATTTGTCATAAAAAGCTTATCACTATCGACCATAATTGAGTTCGAAAGACAGTTTGAACCGATCAAAAATGATTGCTCCCTGATTATATTTAATTTGCAATAAAATAAGTGTGGGACGTAGAGACCATAATTTTTTTTTCTTTTGGTTTTCATTTTAATAACACCTTAGAGAGTGCGATAAATTTTCAATTTCTTTGTTCTATTTGGGACTTTCCTTCTAGCGCCTAGTCTCTTCATCTTTAAGGTTTCATTCGTGAAATTTGGGATTAAATTTAGAAAAATAATTGATTAATTTCATACGGTAAAGAATTTTCAATTTCACTC